GAAGTGTCCAAGCCGGCCGAGGTGCACGGGAAGTACGTAAAGAAGGAGACGTCGCCTCTGCTGCGGAGTGAGTGTCGCGCGGGCGCGCCCCCACCCTGGGCTGCGGGGACGCAGCGGCTGTCACGCGTGTGCCCGAAGTGGCGTTTGTTCACCGCGAGGGCGTGGAGACTAGGAAGAGGGCATCGCCCCGCCCTGAGTGGTCCCCCGAGTATAAAACTTCTGGCGACCCCTGCTGCAGGCGGGCCGTGGCGCTGCGGGGGACGCGGCGGTCGCTGACCGGGCGGTCGCCGACCCTGCGACGCCGCGGGTGAAAGTGGCTAGCTCGGGACGCTTTCCCTCCTTGCCTTCGAGATAGGTTTGCAAACACTGCGGCTGTCAGCGCGGTGCTCTGCGTAGTAGGACTCCAGGAACGGAATTCCAGAGCCGCGCCGCCGGACGCAGACCTGACAAAGTCAGAAATGGTCCGTTGTCCTTGTAGCCCTTCGCCGGAGCCTCGGGGCTCTCGGATCTCGGGGCGGCAGAGCCGAAAACGTTTGTATTCGGCTGTTTTCGGGAGAGAACGCAGAACTGTTCTTGTCCTATCAGGGAAGTTGCCAAGAAGTTGGTTGGCTTTTTCAGCTCTTAGTAGGGCATGTTCCCCCTCTCCTTGCTTTTGCTTCTCGGTGTATAATGTTTGATTTTAGAGCTGAATTTCCGAGTTTTTAATCCGTATGCCGTCTAGACCTTTGTGAGGCAGTGTACTAATCCTTAGGTGTTCCTGCTGCCTCCAGGGCCCTTTGTGTAGGTTTCCTGCTTGGAAGCTGGGTAACCTTGTGACTTACGCATTACTTAATATTGTAATCGGAAGAGCTGGTCATAGAGGTTCCCAGTATGTGCCCAAAAAACACCCAGAAGCGGACAGAGAGCGTATTTTTCCCATTACGCCGCTCTAAGCTTTCCAGCCCCACTGGTAGGTGGTTGCAGTGCTGTCAACAAAGTAGATCAGATCTTCAAACTTGATTGTTAAACTTATTTTTAACAGTTTGGTTTTCAGTTTTGCGTTTTTCTTGTGTTTTTAAATGAAAACTTGTACACTGCAGCTAGTATATTAAATATGACTTGAAATCTTACCTAGATCACATCTGTAAGCCAATAACTTCAGTATTTCATTTCTGTTTGCAAGCTTTGACTTTATTTATTCTGATATTTAGTTCAGCTTCTGGAGCTTACTACTATGGCTCTCTTAATAGTGTCCGCTTAATTAACTAATAAAACGGACACTATGTATAGTTTTCAGGCATTTGTTGGACACTATGTATAGTTTTCAGGCATTTTTTTCACCCAGAATGTCCCAGCTATATCCACAATCTTGTTCAGTAGTACTAAATGCTGAAGGCCATTCTACCATTAGCTTCTGTTTTGAATTATAATCTTAAAGGAGCTGTAGTTTTAGGCTTGGCATTTTTTATCTGATTTAACATTTATGTGCCTCTTTGAAATTAGATATTTTAATTTTCATACCTAAGGTTTTTTCCCTTTGCAGTCTTTGTTTACTAGTGTTAGGTAATTCATACAAAGAATTACTGCTTTTAAAGTCTTTTTAAGGAAATTTGTGAATTTGGAAGTAGATTTATATTAAATTTTTTCTTCTAAGAGTATTTGGCAGGTTCTAAAATGAAGCAAGAACAACAAACTAGTCGTAAATCATGTTGGTAATTATTTAATGATTTTCTATTTTTACACATTCATGAATGTTTCATTGATACATACTTAATAGTTAAACTGTTTCATCATATTGTCTATGGTAGGTCTACAGTACAGTTGATTCTGGCAGAGTTTGTACATAGCACATCCATCCAAATTATTTTCCTATTTGAGTGGGAAAACAATCCTCCTCAGTTTAAAATAGCATCTGAAATCAAAATTTAAATTAAATGAAGTAGTATTTTGATTTTGGGGTAATAGGCATAAATGAAAATCCTTAGAAAAGTATGTAGTGTTTTATCAAAGTGGTAATTTTGTTTCCTACTTTGTTATAGATCTCATGCCTTCATTTATCCGGCATGGTCCAACAATTCCAAGGCGAACTGATATCTGTCTTCCAGATTCAAGCTCTGCTGCTTTTTCAGCTTCTGGAGATGGAGTAGTTTCAAGAAACCAGAGTTTCCTCAGAACTCCAATTCAAAGAACATCTCATGAAATAATGAGAAGAGAAAGCAACAGATTATCCGCACCTTCTTACCTTGCCAGGAGTCTAGCAGATGTCCCTCGGGAGTATGGCTCCTCTCAGTCCTTTCTGACACAAGTTAGTTTTGCTGTTGAAAATGGAGACTCTGGTTCCCGATATTATTATTCAGATAATTTTTTTGATGGACAGAGAAGGCGGGCACTTGGAGATCGTGTGCAGGAAGACTACAGATATCATGAATATAACCATGATGTCTTCCAAAGAATGCCCCAGAATCAGGGGAGGCATGCTTCAGGTATCTTAATATTATAACTAGCACGTTAACGCTGCAGTTAAGTCAGTGTGCTCTTTTCTGGATTTTCCTAGGAAGCCAACAAATACTCTGATTGTACCAGTCTGGTTTGAGCCTGCTTGCAAATAGTTGTTAACTTACACTGACAGAATTACATCCATTTAGTTTATTAATGCCTGTTATATAAACTTGGTACTTATCTGAAGATTATCTGCACTGTTAAAAACTGTGAGCCTTGAAAACATAGAGAATTTAATGTCTTTAGTTGGACTAAATTTAGATTTAGGTTTGTTGAAATGAGAGGGTTAGGTCCTTAGAGATACTTGACCTAAATCTGAGAAAGGTTAAGAAAAATTGGCAGTGCTAGGTGATATACCACGGGCAGCTACATTTCTTAGTGAGATCGTGTACTTTTTCTCTGAACATAAATTTTTTTGCTGCTCAGTAATTTCTCAGTTTGGCCAAACCGACTTCAAATTGTTAATTTTGTGTTGAATATGTCTTTTGTTTCTTTTTGTAACAGGCAAAACTATTAATCATGAAATTAAGAAAAAAAATTGCTTTACTTTTACTTTATCTTGGAGCTAGATCTACAAGGAACTGAAGAAATTTGGAGACATGTTATGAGTTTTACTACTTTTTCCTAAAATGCTGGGTTACACTAGATAAATTAACACAGCTTGAAAGTTAAACTTCATCATGTGTTTTTCTTTCTCGCCTAGTAAGTCGTAGGCTTTAAATTTGGCAGGCTAAAGATTTACATTTTAGCCCACAGAACTTCAAATAAGATGATTTAACAGTTTGAAGCAGGAGTGTTATGACTATAGGGAAAATTGTATTCATTTTGTTTTAATCATTTACATGTCTAGCAATTTCCTCAACCCTCTGGGAATACTGTATTTTGGGAAACAAAACCAAATTATATAGACACTAATTATTAGCAATTCATTGTTATACTTTGTGATATCAGCTCTGAGTGTGACAGGAGTCAGAATAGAGGTCAGTGTGGGGTAGAATACAGAAAAGAATGACTTATGGGGGACATAAGACTTGAACTGGGCTTCTTGTGACAGCAGAAGAAAACTTTTTAGGTGGGAAATTGAGAATAGCTCAGAGAAAACAGAATAGACTGGTCAGGGTTTAAACTTAAGGAAGTGGGCAGTACTGCCTCTTTTTAGGAAGATAAAAGATGAAATGCGGATTTGTTTTCCAACTACAAGCAAATTTGAGTCAGTGATAATGGAGAGGGAAAAGATAGATCTAGGATGCCTTATCAAGGAAAAATGACCATTACAGGTTTGGGAGAAAGAGAATCACTAAATTTTGAAAGTTAAGGAAGAGTGTGAATGTTATGTAAAGTGCAGCTTGTTTTATGAAAGCTGATATTGTGGGGGCTGGGGAGATAGCTCAGTATCCTGAGCTCAATCCCCAGTACTGCAGAAAAAAAAAAAAAAAAAAAGCTGATATTGTGAGCTCACCAGGATATTGAAGAGGAACGGTTCTTGGGGCACATGGAAATGGGCACAATTGAGTACCTTTTTGGTTTTAAAGATCTTCAAGATTAACAGTTGCATATACTATTGCAGGGTTTTTTTAAATATTGTGTAGTTCTCATCCTCAGAAATAATTTTTACCCAAATTAAAAAGAGAATATTTAAAAAAGCTCTACCTTAGGAAATTTTAAAATGTAGGTATGTGTAATTCCCATCTACCAGCAATTCTTTCCTTTATTTATTTATTTATTTATTTTTGGCAGAACCGGGGATTGAACTCAGGCTCTTGCGCTTGCCAGGGAAGCGCTTATTCCACTGAGCCATCTCCCCGGCCCCTAGCAATTCTTTGTTATATTATTTTATTTATCATTTGTCATGCTAAATTTTTTATGTTGTTTTGCTTATATCCTGTATAGTTTTCATGTCTTTGGCTTTTACTTGAATGAATTTCATAATGTTACACTCTTTTTTTTTTAATTTTTATTTTAGCATAGGGTCTACAGGGTCTCACTACGTAGATCGCACTTGTAGTGACCCGACTGTTTACAGCCTCCCAAGAGCAGGGATTACAAGCTTGCGCCACCATGCTCAGTCTGGGTTGCTGGCTCAGTGTGCCCTGGGGCAGGGCTCACATGGCAGGCCCAGGGATTGAACCCCTGGCCCCTTTGTCTGCTTGCAGGCGCTTTAATTCGCTGAGCTATTTGGCCAGTATTACACTCTTTTGATGAGTAATAACTCCATAGTTTTCTACTTTGGTGCATGTTCAGTGGTATTTTATTTTATTTTATTTTTTTAGAGGTTTTTTTTGTGTGGGGGGAGTGCTGGCTCAGTGTGCCCTGGGGGCGGGGCTGGTGTGGCATGTAGTTCAAACTGCAATCTCTGCATTTGCATAAGCTGGCAGTTTAGACTGCTGAGCTATCTCACCGGCCCCAGGGGTTAGTATTGTAAACAAATTAATGAGGACCTGCTCTCACCCTTTGGAAAGGGGAGAAGTGGGACACATTCAAATGAATGGGACTTGGCTACTACTAAAAAGGTTTGAGAGACAGGAAAGAGAGCCTGATAGGTGGTTAGTGTAGTCCCTGGCCACATAAGAGATGCCCAAAAGTAACTGGCTAAGAGGATGAACGAGTCGAGAGGTTCCAGATGTGGAGACTTAAAAGATGATTTCTAGGGCCAGGGAGATGGCTCAGTAGAATAACTGCTTACCTGGCAAGCACAAGGGCCTGAGTTCAATCCCCGGTTCCAGGAAAAAAAAAAAAAAGATAAAAGATGGTTTCTGTTAGTGAAGGGAGAACAGGAGTCATGGCTTTGTTCGTTGCAGGTTCAGGAGTCATAGCTTTGTTGGTTGCAGGTTATCTGTTGCTGTTTACACTCACCTTTCCCCTCTCTGCATTGCCAGCATCACTGTATAGTTCATCTGGGTTGAGCATATTATAAAAGTTGAAATTTGAAATGCTCTCAAATTCAAATGGAGTCCCAGCATGGTGCTGTGAATGCAGAATTCCACATTTGACCTCCTGTGACAGATCATGGTCTAAGGAGAGTACACTAAAAATACTGCACTCCAGACTGGATAAGGTCCGGATGAAGCACGCGTGATTTTCATGCATTGCCTTGGCTCTCCTCTCCCCGTACCTTGTGTATTAACAAATATTCTAAAATTCAAAAAGATTCAAATGTAAAACACTCTGCTCCCAAGCATTGTGGATAAGTGATCAGTCTGCGGTACTATTCTATGTGAGCATTCTGTGTGTCTGGAGAATTAGTAATGCCAACATAATGTCTTATTTTAAACTTCTCATTGGCAAGATGTCATTCAAGAAATACTATAAACAAAATTTCCACTGAATTAGGAGTCATCTTGACATGGTTTTGATAAGTTTAATGACAAGACTTTAAGCAGCTTTCCTGTCACAACATAGAAATAAAGTACAAGTCTATTGAGTATTTTTTTAAGTTAAAAGATGTGTTTTAAAAGTATGATTTATGACAGTAGGCTGCTATGTTCTTTTTCTTACTCCAAGCTCCTTTGTAACAGATGATACCATTTTATGGAAGGTTGCAGATATTTGACAATTTTCTAATAAAATATCTCTACCTCCAATTTTTTTTGGTAAAAGATGTGTATTTATTACAACGGTGAGTGATAGGTTGCTTGAGCAACTTCGTTTACTATTAACTTATGTCAGGATAAATAATAGTTTAATAATAGTAAATAATAAAAGTTTAAATTAAACTTCATTTACTGTTATTAATTAAACTATGTTAATGGTTTACTCTCTAGAAGAAAATAGTGCTGCTTTGAAGGAATTCATTAAAATTGCAGGGAAAGATTAGCAATCAGTTTAGTAACCAAATAGAAAGACCTTGTAATTGTCTTTTTTTTTTTTTAATTTTATTTATTTATTTATTGTGTGTGTGTGTGTGTGTGTGTGTGTGTGGCCAG